ATGTGGGGGTCACTATTCTTGACCAGTAAATCTGTCTTCCTCCCACCCCTGTTCCCCAGCCTCAGACCCTAGTTCTCCAACACAGGGCCAACCACTGTTAAGGTTTTGTTTCTTCCCTTTATCTTTCTGGTGGTGGTCTCTGAGCATAAATTTCTGTCTACCGTTTGATATTTTTCTCCCTTCAAGTAGTTATATTCCATAAGCCCTGTTCTGCACCTTACTTTTTAAATTTAACAATATAATTCAGAGATTATTCCATATTGTAAGGTTGAAGGCACTGGGCGGACATGCTCACCCCTCCGCCCAGTGCCTTCAACCTTACACATATCAGTATATTTATTGGTCATGAACCACTGAGAGCTGTGAGTGGGTGATACTTCAGCACTGTATCCAGTGGTTCTGACTGGGGAGAGACTGGAGGGAAGAGGACCGGCAATTTCTAGCTTTAAAGACTGATTACAACAGACAGGATCTGGTGGGGGTGGGCAGTAGGGAACTACCAGTTCTTGGTTTTGGGAAGGGTGAAGCCGGAAGGAGGAATTGAAAATCGATCTTGAGATTCACGTTGTGGTGTTGAGTTAGAACTCTGCCTTAACCATAACTAAAGAAAGGAGGAGAACTGGCTTTTAGGGGGATTAAAAGAAACTTTAAAAAGAAACTCTTAGAGAAAAATCATGACATTCCTTGAGAGTATAATCACAACAGTTCCTTATATTTTGTTCATTTTAAAGTTTCTGAAGTGTGTTTACATACTTCTTTATCTTCCTTTGTTTTTAGATTTATGCCTGGTGTGATGGGCAGGACAGATATTACCCCCGTTTCTGTCCTGCAGGTAAGGAAGGGAGGGCAGCTAGGTTAGGAGGCTCTCTGCAGTGGTGTTCTCTGAGCAGACAGGCACTTGTGGTGTGAGGAGGGGGAATCCCCAAGTCGATTTTGATCGTGGCTTCTAGCCATGTGCTGTGTGAGTGTGACTGGCTTGCTCCTACCCTCAGCACCTCAACTTTCTTAACTGTTAAACAGGGTTGATAATACCTGCACCCTTAGCCTCACACAATGGGGAAGGCCAAATAAAATAATCTAAGCAAAAGAGTGCTGATAAAAGTAAGGCAGGATGCAAATACCAATCTCTATAGGTTACACTTTCATCACACCACCAGGGCTGGGGATTGGGATGGGAGACCAGGGTCACAGGTTGAGCTGCTGGTGAGGTACACAGAGGCAGGGCCCTCTCTGGTGGAGTGGGAAGGAGGTGCAGGGCTCTGAGACATGGTAAAGATGTCCATCCAGCCTCCAAGGCTGGAGGCCTTTGAGGTCAAGGTGGGGAAGTCCAGGGACTCACATGTACTGGGAGGAACTCTGGATTTGGATTCCGAGGGCTTGGGTTTGAACACAATTTTCAACATGTCCTAGACCTGGCATGATATACTTGATGTCTTTGAATTTCAGCTTCCTTATCTCTGAAATGTCACATTATACACCTTGGGTATTTGGAACCTACTTGTAAGCTCCCCAAACTCTATTTGACCAAAAGGCATGCAAAAGGCCATAGCTGTATGCCTTTTGGTCAAATTCCTGTTCCTTCAAGAAGAGGTTAGAGAGCAGGAGATTTGGAAGATGCTAAACCTCTGGGTCTGAGGAAGGGACACCAGTTAAGGAAAGCAGGTGGCTTCTGGAAGCGAAAAAGATAAGGTGTCTCAGAGCCTCCAGAAGCAGTGTCAGTCCTGCTGACACTGTGACATTAGCCTAGTGACTCCGATTTTGGACGTCGGATCTCCAGAACTTGAAGGTGATAAATTGTGGTGTCTCAAGCCACTAAGGAGTTTGTGATAATTTGTAATAGCAGCATTAGGAAACTAATACAGCACACTTAAGATTCACCCATGTTTTTGCATGTATGAATGCATTCCCTTGTATGGATGTATCTCAACTTGTGTACATTTACCAATTGTTGAACACTCCAAGTTTTGGGCATTGCTATGAACATTCATATATATATATATATAGGGGTCTTTGTGTGGACATATGTTTCCATTTCTCTTGGGCAAATGCCTTGATGGGATTTGGGATTTCTGGGTCTTAATTTTGTAAGGAACTGCCAGCTGCCTGCCAAAGTGGGTGTGCCATGTAGCATTCCCACCAGCAGTGCACTAGAGTTCCAGTTATTCTAGATCCTTCCAGTGCATAGCATTGTCAGTCTTTTCGATTTGAGCCATCATAATGGAAGATTAGTGGTATCTCATTGTGATTTTAATTGCATTTTCCTGATAGCTGATGATGTTGAGCACTTTTTCACAGGCATTTTGGCTATCTGATCTATTTCTCTTGTGAAATGCCTGTTCAGTTCTTTTGGCCATTTAAAAAAATTGGGTCATTTCTTCTTATTTCTTAGTGAGTTTTAAGAGTTCTTTATATATTCTGATTACATGTTCTTTATCAGATATGTTTTGTAAACATTTGCTCCCAGTCTGTAGCTTGTGCTTTTATTTTCATTAGTGCCTTTCAAAGCTCAGATATTTTAAATTTTGATCAAGCTCAATATATCAATTTTTTTTCTTTTATGGTCCTTTCTAAGGAATCGTTGCTTAACCCATGGTCACAAAGATTTTCTTCCAAGTTTTCTTCTAGAAGTTTTGTAGTTTTAATTTTAGTTGTGTGATCCATTCTGAGTTAATTTTTATACTGGGTGTGAGGTGAGGGTTAAGATTTTTAAAATTAAAAAATTTTTTTGGTAATATCTGACTGGTTTTGGTATCAGGTAATGCTGGTCTCACAAAATGAATTAGCATTGTGCTCGGGTCTTGCAGGAAATACAAAGTTAAGAGTCAGCCCCTGCTGGAATCACACACATGTACACATGCCAAGTATGATAAAGGCAAAGTTTGAAGAACTCCATAAGAGAAGTACAGATCAATTGCTGTTGGTTTTCAAAGAAGGAAGACAAAGGAAAACCTCAGAAAAGGCTTCCTGAGGTGGTGACACTAAAGAAGGGTTTTAGTAGGGCTGCAACATTGCGCAGTTCTGGGGGCACCATTCAAATGCTAGTGTATTGAATGGTGCTCCCTTTAGAGCATATAGAATAGAACATGGTTGGTGCCCACCTGATGTTGTAAAGCATGTGGCCTTGCTAAAATAAGTCTACCAGCAGAGAGACTATCAGTTGGTGGAGGCGGGGGCAGGTAGGTGGGGTGGACCGGGAAAAATGTTCTGGGTTTGAGGGGATTCTAGTAAACTCACGACTGCTTGCTTTATGTAAGTATGCCTTTGTTTCCCCAATTTTTATATTCAACTCCCATTGATCTGCATCCTCCCCTCATTGAATGTGGCCCTAGAAGGCCCTGAAGAGGAAGGTGGGAGGAGGAGGGGGACTAGCCTTTGTGGACCCACCCTAGCTCTGTGCTCAGCACCCTGAATCCATGATCTCATCAGTCCTCCCACCAGCTCTATAGTTGCAGCTTCATTATTTCCATTTTTGCAGATTAAAAAATAAGAGTCGTAAAGGTTAAATGCCTTGCCCTGGGTCAGCTGCTGGTGAGTAGTGGGACTGAGATGGCAGTCCCGGCTGCTGGCTGGCTGCCTTTGGCCTCTGCAGTGTTCTTCCCCACTGCTCTGAGAAAACTTAATTTCTGAGGAAAGCAGGCACATAGATAGAAAGGAACGGGTGCCAGGGGGAGGTCAGGACTAGAGATTTGTGAGTGGGTTTGTTCTGATTTAGCAAAAACACTCTCAGTGTTGTGGGCTGCTCTGTGGCTGACTGGCTGCATGGTCAGGGTTTGCAAAGCTTCCAAAGATCCTTTTGCTAGAAGGGCTTTAAAAGCTGCAACCTCTCAGCAGTTTCTATCAGTTGGGATTTTTTTTCCCCCTCCAGATTGAATCTGGGTTTTTCTGGCTTATGTGTTCCCAGAATGACCCCATGTTTCCCTCGCCTGAGCAGCACTGCTTTGCCACTCACACTGCTTCCTGTCACCGAGTGATTCCCCAGAAAAAACTCTTCACCAGTCCTATCTTTTGGCTCCTGACCTCTCTGCTCTTCACTTCAAATCCTCCGGTTTCTCCAAGAAATGTAGAATGTCAGGGACAAAGGAATGCCAGGACCTTGTTCTGATCCCAGGTTTGGGGTTTGTTACCCCTCCTGGTCTCATATGTTGAAATGTTTTCAGAGGCACACCTGATAAACAAGGGAGGGCACTGTGGAGAAGCTACTGTGAGGAGATGGAGCGTGTGTGGGAGACCCAAGGGCCCGCTCTGTGACAGTCCCTGATGTCCCCAGCCATCCAGTCCCCCTGACTGCTCGGAATGCTTGTGCCCTCACATGTCCCAGGGAGTGCTCCCTGCCTCCCTCTGGGTATTTGGCTTTTTGTCTTTTGTTTGGTCACTGCGGGCCCTGCCTCTTGCCAACTCAAAGGCAAACAGAGATCAGGCCAGGCGCTGGCTGCCCAGCCTTGCGGACAGCATTACATACTGCTCTGTGTTGGCAGGAAAAGTGTCCTCCATAACTTGGATTCTAGAAGGTCCTCTCTCCCACCACTCAGGAGTTCCCTTCCCCATTCTGCAAGGCTTCTGTGCCCAGCCAGCCCTGCCCACTGGGCCGAGCGCCCTCTCTGCCTGCCAGCAGAACTCCAGGAATACTGAGGAGCTGCTCGGATGGCTCTTGGTGACTCCATGGGAAGTGTTCTGGGTTGGTTCTCATTGCCTCCACCTTCTTCCGGGACTTACTTGCCAAGGCTGACGCCTCCAAGCCCCTCCCAGCTACAAAGTACAGCCTGCCTCCTAGTCGTGCCAGAAAATGCTGAGCCCATCAGCAGGAAGAGCTGCCACAGCTGCAGTCATCCGGAAGGCTGCAGTGGCACTTAGATTGCCTTCTGGAATTCTTTCCAGCTGCTCTCTATTTGACAATGCTGGGTGGCATGGTCACCAGGAACCCACCCCGCCTGTGAGATAGAAATGGCTGGGGGCCTGAAGGTGGGATTGGGAGGGAGGGGAGTAGGGAGAAGGCAGGGAAGGGGAGTGGGCAGAGCAGAGGCAGCAAGGGACCATGAGAGGTGTGTGGAGGGCACCAGTCTCTGTTCTCCCTGGTTGGCCCCCCTACTTGTTCTGGAATCTTCTTGGAACAGATCTTGGATACTAGCAACTTCCAGTTGCCTCAGTGTAGGGACTTCTGCTTGAAGTCTAGGAGAAGCAGGAGTCTCCAAGACTACCGGAGAGACAGCAAGATAGTAAAAGAAAGCAAGCCCACCAAACATTTTGGAGTCAGAGGACCCTGCTTGCAGTTGCTTCTCTGCCTCTCAGCTGAATGCCTTGGAGCAAATTGCCAACTCTCCAGGACTCAGTGTTCTCATCTGCAGAATGGGATCCCACGACCCACCCCTGCACCTGAATATAAGTCGGGGGATCAACAAGAGACGATGTATGTGAGTGTTTTGTAAACTGTTAAGTGAAAAACATTTGCATACTTAGGTGCTTCTGGAGGGCTGTGTTAGTCTTTGAATTCCTCCATGATGTCTGGTTTGTTGGATAAAGAGGTAAATACAGTGACTTTCTGGAAAGTTTCTGATTTCCCTCATTGGTGATCAGTGTGGTAAAGAAAAGTAAGGCTATGGTTGTGTTAGATTGTTAGAGCTGGTAACAAAGTACCACAAACTGGGTGGTTTAAACAACAGAAATGTATTGGCTCACAGTTCTGGAGGCTGGAAGTCTGATGTCAAGGTGTCAGAGGGGTTGGTTTCTTTTGAGAGCTTCGAGAGATAATTTGTTCCAGGCCTCTGAGCTTCAGGTGGTGGCTGGCAGTCTTTGGTGTTCCTTGGCTTGTAGAAACATCACCCTGATCTCTGACTTCATCTTGACATGGCATTCTCCCTATGTGCATGCCTCTGTCCAAACTTCCTGTCTTTATGTGGACACAGTCACATTGGGTTGGGGGCCCACCCTAATTACCTCATTGTTACTAATTACATCTTCAATGACCTTATTTCCAAAAATGGTGGGCAGGGGTCTTCTGAGCCCAGGGCCAACTCCAAAATAAGGAAGGCCAGGGCAGCATGCCAGGCCTGGTTGGGAAAAGAATTCTTCTGATGCAGATGTAGGTGGTAGCTGTAGGGTGAGGGTATTTTCTATTTTCTATTACCAGCTATTTTCTATTACCATTCCTGGATTTTGGGGGATTAGTTTTTTTTTTCCCTTCTGAGAATCACAACCTCTGTGTTGTAGATCCAAATGCAGTACCTGTCCTTACTCTTCACGCCCCCTTCTTTTCATGCCCCTATTTCCCTTCAAGCCACTACTAACCCCATAACACTAGCAACCCACCCTTCTTTGCAGCTCTGCAGCTTGGGTACACAGTTGCCAACACAAGACTTCTGGGGTGACTATGGTTCACATTCTTATCCCTTCCCCCTTTTGCTGTCCACTTTGTCCTACACTGCAGCATCCTTCCAGGGCATGTCTCTGGGAGCCCCTTGTTTCATGTGTACCCAACTTTACTCTGGGAGCCTGCCTGTCAGCAAGCACGTTCTGAGTTGGCGGGATTCGGTGCATGCGTGTGTTACTGGCCACAGTGTTGGTGCTGGTCACAGGGCAGAGGGACACCTTGGCACCCCTGCTGTCTGCATTTCAGGCTTCACTGTCGTCTATTCATGTTGTCCCCCTCTTCCCCACGACATGCTCCAACTTAGGAAGCAGCTGACATGGAAGAAGGCATTTCTTTAAGTCACACCCTGAATAATCAGAAGGAATCTACTGAATTCTTACCACGTACAGGCACTAGGCTAAGTGCTCTTCAACCCTTTTCTCATTTATTTATTCTTCTCAATGGTCCTAAGGAACAGACACTCTCATTTTCCTCATTTTAGTGATGGCCAATTGAGGTTTTGAGAGGAAATAAAGGAAGTGTAAAGTGCCCAAAGTCATTCAGTTAGTAAGGGCCACGCACACTTGGTTCTGAACCATAGGTTCTAGTCCCTTATCCACAGGGTGCCTCAGAGGGAGGGCAGGGGCCGGCTTGCATCATAAACACCTGGGCTGCTGAGTGGAACGACAGGCTCCTGGTGTCCACCCTCAGCTATGGAAGCAGAAGAAAGTGAGGCGGGGCCCGGAATCTGCATTCTCAAGGCGCTCCCCAGGGACTCTCTAAGCAGGAAGGCTAAGACTCACCTCCCAGGGAACTGCTTCCTTCCAGGGCCTTCTCCCTTTACTGTTCCACCCAGGATGCCAGCCATTACAGGGGGGTTCTCAAATGCAGGGTGCAGGTGTTTTACCTCCCACCCACAAAGCCACCTGTGTCCTCCCTTGCTCCCTGGTGTAGTGTTGCCCTGGAAGTTCCAGTGGAGGCCAGGCAATCTGGCTCACATATGGGTTGGGAGAGGGTAGCCTGCATGATCCCTTGCCTACTGGAGCCCCCAGTCCTTTGCCGGCTGCACTCTGCCCCTCTGCCCCCAGGCCCTCGATTGAGGACCAGGCCTGGTGTCACCTGGCAGTAGCCAGGGCAGGGCTGGGCAGGCCTGAGCTCTGGTAATGTCGGCATTTCCCCATGACTAAAAGGGTGTGAATATTCCAAAGGGAAATCTTAGCATGGCCCTTGTGCAGTATGGGGTTCCCCTTGCAGAGTATCGGGTTCCCCCTAAGGGCATCCGTTTAGAAGCATACACTTCTTTTCTTGCTCTGTCCCTCTGCACTCATTCTATCCTTTTACTCTTCATTTTCTCCTGTCCCCATAGTTCCATTTTGTACCCCGTCCTCAGAAAAAAAAAGCAGCCACAAAAAACACCCATGTACCTCCAGAAGCCCAGTGCATTCCAGCAACTTAAAAGAAATATGAAGGAAGTCTTTACCGCCTGGGCAGCAACTACTTGCTCACCCATGAGCTTTCCACTCTATCCTGTGGAGCCCCTGCTGCATCTCTTTTCTGGAGATTTACAAGCCCATCATGCAGGGTGTAGTCTTCACAAGCTCTTAGGAGCCAGGAGACATTGGAGCTAGAATATAAGCCTCCTGAAGGCAGGAACCCTGCTGTATGCCTAGGGTCTAAAAGGGGGGTCAGGTGTGTAGTAGGTGCTCAGTGAACATTTCCTTTTTGGTGAATCTTAGAGCTGAAAGGCGCTACCGTGTTAAACTTGTCCAGAAGGACCAAAGGAGGAAACAAGATCAGAGAGGTGCAACCACTTGTCTGAGTTTGCACAGCAAGTAGGTGGTGTAGTTGGAGCTAGAGCCCAAATTAACAGGATTATTTCTGAACTCCGAAGTGCCAAAATCTAAGTCATGGCTTCCAAAACATATATCCTATAAGCCCAGAGACCTCTGGCTGGTTCTCTGGTGGGAGAAGCTGTCTAGTCCTCTCTCTCTGGGTCCAAGATCTCAGGGATCTGGGCAGAAGCAGCTAGCTGGTTTCTCCACTTCGCAGAATAGACAGCATCCCTGAAAATGCCAGCTTGGATTTCTAGGCTGACATCCACACACCACCTCATCCTAAAAGTAAATGATGAACTCTTTTCACACACTGTCAACAATTTTAATTGGAAAAACTCCTGTCTGTGTAATGCAAAATTGACCAGGCAGTTTGTATTCTGTGGGCTGAGGGAGTTCCTGGCACCTGCTTGCCGGTCCCTCCTGTGAGCCCCACTTGTGTAGAAAGGCTGGTGAGATTGCTCAGCATAGTGACCTTCACAGAGTTCCAAATGTCTTGTTTGTTTAAAAATGTTCGCTCAGTTCAGGGTTCTTCCTGTCTGTCCTCCCTTCCCCAACTCCTTCACCAAGCAGGGCATATCCACGCTGTCCTGGGGGGTTGGTGGTGAAGAATTGAATCGAGTAATGTGAGCATCAGTCTGGTAGTCCTAAATGCCGCCTCATTTCTGCTGCCCTCCAACATGCACCTTTACCCCATTTCTGCTCTCCCCCTTCCAGACCTTCCATCCCTCTTTGCTCCTCCTCTTTTCTTCGTTCTTAGTCGATCCCAGGCCTTTTGCCCCCATTCCTAACTACCACTGTGCCCCTTATACCCCATCTCTAAGCTTCTCTTTTCCATCCCTGTGGTCAAAGTAGACTACCTTGGGGAGGGATATTTCTTTCTCATATTACCTGGTATTTCTTAAAAGTTGCAAGTTGAGTGATTTGTTTTTAAGGCATTGTCAAAGGCCCTCCTGCCATAACCAGCCAATTCAAAAGGGCGGTAGCAAAGTGATGTTGGAGTCAGTATCATGGTATCATGCACCCTTTCTAACCTGTCAGTAATAAGGATATTGACAATGAAAATGAAGTCTTTATTAAGCCTCCTCTGCATATTAAGCACAGCACTAGGCTCTGTTCCCTAGTGCTTATTTGTCAAATCCTCACAACAATCCTAGGAGAGAGGTATTTTAATCCTTATTTTATTGATGGCAAAACAGGAGCAAATATGTTATGGAGTCTGCCTGAGGGAATACAGTAAATAAGAAAAGCAATTACAGAATTACAGAGTGATACAAACTGTCCTGAATAGGTGAGGTAAAGAGTTTGCTTTGAGATCCCTGGAAGTCTAACCTGTAGGCCTGCCTGGAGATTTTAGTGTGCTGTGACGGTGGCCTCTGAAATGCCCAAGGTCAGAGAAAACGCACTTCCTTGACCCCATGGGGAGGCAAGCCCTCCCTTGGGCCATGCTGGAAGTACACTTGGGGACAGTTTTCCAAAGCACAGACTATCCTGAGGAATGGTGTAGAGATGAAATTTGGTGCTGAATTTCTCCCTGATCTTGCTGTATTTTGAATATTTAATGACGGAGCAGTATGGGGAATAACAGGACCAGTCTATTCCACACCTCAGTGGAGACTGACACAGCTAACTCTGTTATAAGGTACACAGCAAAGTGGTTAAAGGGAGTGGAGCAGTGAGGGGAAGAGTTTGAAGAGGGAATGACACACAAAATCATGTCCTCGCAGGAGGCATTTGGTTATGCTTCCATCAGAGGTTTTTCACACCACCAGAGTAGTTGTTGGTTACAAGAATAGGCTCTCCTCTTTTTTAGTGAAAATATTTGCAGTGTAAAATGTTCTTCCAAAGTTTGCAGGACTGAACTTTGTTATTGCAAGAGGTATTGAATGTGGAGGCATCTTGAGTCCTTTTAAGACCTTGGCTGATGGAAGGTGAGCTTCAGTCACAGATATGGAGGGATGAGTAGAGGGGTGAGGTCTGGCCCTGATTATTGCCCTGGCCCCACCCTAGCACAGGGTGCAGGAGATTCTGTTGAGGGAACTTAATGATCGAGTAGCATCAAGGTTTTGAGAGAATCAATATATGGTTGATACTGTCAAGTGTTGATTAAGTAGCATAATGACCAAAAAGTGGTAAGGAGGATGTTAGTAACTGGGAAACAGCAGCTTCTGAGGAAGGAGGATTGAGAGCTGAGGGGAATTGACAGAGTATCATATTTGAGGAGCTTTTCAGG